TTTAAATAATAGGTTCATTTTTTTGGCATCTTTCTTGCTTGCATTTATTTAATGTCTTGGAATAAATAAAAAAAATATAAAAATATAAATAAAACAAATAATAAAATAAATACTTAAATCTATATAATCTTTGGTAGTTTAATATATAGAGTCATTGCTTAATTGAGTAAAGCAAAGATCATTTATATTTATAAAGCTGCCTGATTCAACAATACATTCTAGATTTCAAGCTATAGCTTGAAAATTCTAAATTTTAAATGAAAATTAAACTTCATCGTGTTTTACAATATAGATTTTAAGAATTATCCAATTTTTTATATAACATCAAATCACGGATATAAATAGTGATTATCAACTAATTAAATTAGTTAATTTTTTTTTATTTTTTTTTGTTTCAATGTGGTTCTAATATTTTTTTTTTTTTTTGTTAGTCTTAGTTTTTTTTTTTTTGTTAATCTTAGATTGTCGTTATTATTGGAGCTGTCGCTTGAATTTGGTACTAGGTCAGTTACAGTCACTTTAGCTTTGTCATTTCAGCTTCATCATTGGTGCTTTGTGAATTAACATTTCGGCTTCGTTGTTGGTGCATGTGTCATCGTTTTAGCTTTTCATCATTGCATGCCTTGGTGAATTAATATTTTAGCTTCGTCGTTGGTGCCTTCGGGAGTTGTGTATTGTCGTTTCAGCTTCTCGTCGTTAGTGCCTTGGTGAATTAACATTTTGGCTTCGTCGTTGGTGCCTTGGGGTTGTCGTTTCAGCTTCTTGTCATTGGTGCCTTGGTGAATTAATATTTCAGCTTCGTCGTTGGTGCCTTGGGAAGTTGTGTGTTGTCGTTTCAGCTTCTCATCATTGGTGCCTTGGTGAATTGACATTTCAGCTTTGTTGTTGGTGCCTTGGTGAGTTGTATATCATTGTTTCAGCTTCTCGTTATTGGTGCCTTGGTAAATTAACATTTCAGCTTCGTCGTTGGTGCTTTGGTAGTTGTGTATCATTGTTTCAACTTCGTTATTGGTGTCTTGATGAATTCTCATTTTAACTTCGTCATTGGTGCCTTGATAAATCATTATTTGGCTTTGTTGTTTGTGCCTTGGTGAGTTTTATGTCATCATTTTGGTTTCTTGTTATTGAGTTGTGTATCATCGTTGGTGCTTTGGTAAACTGTGTAGCATTGTTTCGTCTTTGTCATTGATACCTTGGTAAGTTGTATGTCGTCTTCTTGGCTTCATCATTGGTGCCTTGGTGAATTATATCATTTAAGTTTTGCTTCTTGTATGTTGGTTTTGGCTGATGAAGGCATTACAACAA